CAGGGGTCAGGGGAGAGGTAGTTCCACTGGGCTCCTCTGTCCCAGGTCAATCAGGGTTGTTTCCTGTAGGAGGTCACTACTCCTACACCAAGTGACCATGTGACATTTCCTCCTGGATAAGAGAGTTCTGCTCTCTTGTCGGGTCTAGCAGACCAGTATGCAGCAATTTGTTTAAATATGCTAGTCCTTTCTGCCTAGTCTGTGAATTCCTTCAGAGCAGAGAACACATCTTAGCATAGGATCTTACCCTGGTAACCACTGCTAAATGTTTCTGAAATGAATAAGTAGAATTAAACAAAATATACTGGAAATCAAATAAATTTTACATATTAATACAGAAGTCTTTAGCTCACTGGTCTTGCTGTTGCTAGCTCTACTGACACAGAGTCACATGAAGATCTGTTCGATATGGGCTTTGTTCTTATTCAGTTAAAAGAAGAGGTTAGGTCATTTGAAAGGCTTCTTCCAGGCCTCATCTGGTGGTATGAATAACGAATGAATAGTGGAGAGAATTAAATTTGGAAAATTGCCATTTCAATAATTGATAGGAAATCTAAAAATCCAATATCAGGATTAACCATGGAGACATCTGAGGTACAGAAGGGATTATATTTGGTAAGTTTCTAACTAGGTTAGTGGAAAGCCCAGCTGTTTCCTTCATTCTCTCACATTTCGAGATTTCTACTTTGATTCTATAAGAAAACTAGGTGGTTATGTAAGAAAAATAATGACTTAAAATTTACTAACTCAAGAACTCATGTAAGAGTTCACACCCTTGGCCACTTAGCAAAAGTATGTTGACTTAAGAAAAAGTGTTTAGACAACGTGGGTTGTACCCTGAGCGTGTACCCCATGGTGGGGGACAGGGGGCGGGGAGGGAGACAGCTGCTCTGGGAACTTGGCCATAAAATACCTGCAAACTTCTTCTGCCACCCAACATTGATCAAGAATTGAAAATCACAAGCTTCTGGCACTGAAAATTAATTCTCAAAAGGCTGACAGTCTCTGGGAAGTACTCATGGTACTAAAAAAGAGCATGGAACTTGGAGTCAACGTATCTGAGTTTAAATTCAGCTGCATGCCTTGAGACTACCTGCTCAAACCTCCTGGGGCCACCATGATCACTTCAATGGGCCCTGGTGTAGCTGGCCTGGTATACCGTAAATGGGACCCAGCAGCGGGGCTGGAAACTCTTCGGGCACTGAGAATGTTAGTTTCTCTTCTTCCCTTTTGATGGATGGTCTATTTATGGGGAAGGAGACACGTGATACTCAAGGAATTTACAATAGTTGGTAAGGCAAAAGTCATATCTATAAAAGATGCCGAGCTACGCGTAGCTGGGTAAGATAAATATCTAGAAATGGGGTGACTCAGAGTGCCTTTAAGAGTGGACCAGAAAATGATGATCATGGGCAGGAACAGCAAGAGAAGAAGGCCTGGAAGAGGAAGAATTTGAGTCAGAACTTTGAAAATGGCGGGAATTAGGCAGGCAGAAAGAAATGGATGGGCAGGTCCCATCGGAGAGAGGTACCTCGCGAGAGTGTTCTGGGCAAATTCTGGTAAGATGCACACAATGTGCTCGCTGCAGAACCTTCTGCATATTGGAGTGGCTAAATGGAAGACCTCTGGTAAGTGGACAAGGGTCTTAAATGCTGGACTGAAGAATTGGTCTTTATCTAATAGACGAAGGAAAGTCAGTGAATGTTTTGGGGTAAGAAAAAGACCTAGGCAAATAATATCATCTAGAAGCGCCCACATTTGCAACACTCTCTCTGGTGCTAGGAGCCATGCCGCTGAGGAAAGAAAAGAAAAGAAAAAAAAAAAAAACCCTTTCATTACACTAATACTTAGTAAATCACAGAAGACCTACTTCAGAACTCCAAGGAAAACATTTTTGTGAATCAAAAGCTAAGTACAATATGTTAGCAATTAAATGAGATAACATAATAGCTGAGGCAGAACCGCAGCTTTCCCCACCACAAATCCAAGCTGCACCAGAAAGAAAGGCTTACATCATCTTCCAAGTTATCAAGCCATTTTGTTTTGATTTTCAGGAGGTGGGGAGGGAGGGAACCAGAAGAGTACTGAGGTCAAGAGGATTCAAAGCTGTCTATTCTTTAATCAGAAGGAATTAGGAAGGAGAGGGAGAAAGGAGATCTGCTCAAAACAACTCCCACCCTGGGATGAGTCTGGAGTCCCTGGTCCCTCACTTCCAGTCCAGGACACAGGAAGGTGTGCAGCCCAATGTGGCTCTTTCCAGTGCTTTCTGCCACATTTCCGGTGCATACCTCCCGCTGCTACTTTATTTACTGCAGCTGGCCAAAGTTTTATAGCCTGTTTCATGTATTAAAATTCAAATGTGGAAAACATTACCAGTATCCTCCTTGATTTTTTTTTTTTTTTTTTTTTTTTGGGGAAGGGGGGGGGGGGTTTTTTTTTTTTTTTTTTTTTTTTGCTTCCCCTTAAACTTCCCTTTTATTGTGGAATGTATCCAATGGTCAAAGGCTAACATTAGACTGACTAAATTCAAAAACTATTTCCTTTGTTCTTAGTTTTTTTTTGTTTTAAAATTCATACCAGTTTGCCCAAGGAAAGATATGCCAATCCAGCCTCTTCCACACACATTAATGTTTAGACTGAGGATCTAGGATTCTGTGGCCAGGCTAAATGGTCTTTCAAGAAGAAAGGGGGAAAAGGTAACTAGCCCCTCTTTGGGTCAGATGCAGCAGGTTGCTGACAGAGGTGGTACCACGTTCTGGCTGGCTCCATGGCTGTTCTTAATTGAATACAAGATGTCTCAGAAGAGTGAACAGGAACGTTTCCTCGTCCACAAAACTGGCAGCTCTATTTCTTCTATAGTTTTTTTTTTCTTTCCCAATCCAATCAAAGAGGTGTCTGTGTTATATTGGCCAATTATTTCCCTTTTCAAAATGGTTCTGTTCTATTCTCTCCCGTTCCCCTGCACTGAAATCAGTTCAACTCCCCATCTCCAAAAATAATTCTAGACTTTTCCTCCCATCCCATCTCTGAATCAGACTCAAAGAGGAGGCAATTCAAAGGTCAAATAGTTCCAAAAAGCATCTATGTATAGTTTAGTATGTTAAAGAACCACTTAACCTACATCTGGTACTTAAGAACAAACTTTACATATTTATGGAAAGACAGTCTCTGAAGCAATGCCCTGGCTGCGTGCTGCATCCGGTTAACATATGCAAAACGAACCCAGCTACAGAAATTAAACTATTTTTCTCTTGATTGAGAGCAGATATACAGAAATGGTTATAAGTCACAGATCTGGCTTTTAATAAAGCCAGATTTCTTAATTAAAAGCAGTATTGTTTAAACATCGTAGTTAGAAAAAAAAAGAGAGCTGTACAAATGAAAATCTCATATTATATGCATCCCAAGTGAATTTAACACATTACCTGAGGCCAAGCCAAATTAAAATCTAGACTTTCCTTTTGTAAACTCTTAGCAACCACTATGAACAGACAAATTTTACTTAGTGATGAATTTTTAGGGTAGAGGTCAAGGAAAAGAAAAAAAGATATAGCTTTGGCATTCAAAAATATCTTTCCACATTTTAGAAGTGAGTTCATTGCTTCTATTTATAATCCAGTATTTTGGGTTTCAAATTGGTTGCAGGTTTTGATATTACACTGCTCAGGACAGTACTCTTCATCTTAGTGTTTTAGTAGGAGAAACTGAAAGGACACAATAATACTCTTGAACAAGAACTTGAAGAACCTCCTAATAACTTGTACTTATTTTGTGTTTCCTTTAGAATGTCTTTAAACAAAAGATGCTACAGTTATACTGGAAAAGAGACCGTCATTCAAGCAATTTTTAGAAAAAAATCTAGAAGGGACAGAGTAGGACACTAAGGTGTGTATGACCAGACAGGAATCTGGATAGAGCAGAATTATTATAATATCATCAAATTCTACACCTATTTAGTCATTTCATTTATTGTCACAACTTAATATTCTGTTAATATTCTCAGTGTCTTTGTAACACACCCCAAAAGATGCTTTCTAAAATTCTTTCAAAAGAGTAAAAGAGACACTCCAATTGTCAGGTGGACAAATCTGCTAACAGATTATTCAAATAAACTCTTATTTATAAATGTGGTGGCAAAACTATTCTCTACATTAGATTTCACAATCCCATAACATGTATGTACACAAACAAATTTACCATATGTTTCTACCTCCCGTACTGAGGACACAAGGGACCATTTTGGCTTCTTTAATGATAATGATAATAATAAGGATAAGAATAATAATAATAAGCCCAACCTGCTCATATTTGAAATTTCGGCAATGTTGAACCCTTAAATCAAAGTCACCAAGATGAATGGTTTAAAACACCATCAGTGACCCAGCAACTCATTCCTGGATATATGCTAGGGGAATGGAAAACATGTGCTCACACAAAAACTTGTGCATGAACATTTATAGGTGGATCACTCATAACAGCCCCAAACCAGAGACAAACCAAGTTACCTATCACCTAATAAATGGATAAATGTAATGTGGTCTAGCCATGCCATGGAATATTATTTGGCAGTGAAAACAAAAGAAGCTCTATATGTGGTAAAATATAGGTAAACCTTGAAAAGATTATGCTAACTAACAGCAGCTAGTCAGAAAGACCAACATGTGTTATGTGATTCCATCTATGGAAAATGTCCATATTTAGGCAAATTTATAGACAGAAAGTAGATTGATTAGTGGTTGTTGGAGGCAGAGGGTGGGAAATAAGTGCTTGGTGAGTTTTCTTTTTTACAGTGGGCTAAAATGTCCTAAAACTAGACTGTCATGATGGCTGCACATTCCTGTGAATGCATTAGAATACATTGGATTGTATACTATAAATGGGTGAACTTTTGTTTTCTCAATAAAGCTGCTTTAGAAAAGCCAGTAGCAGTAGTTATTTAAACCTGAAATTCTAATTCCGCACTGTACAAATTTGTATACTCTACAAATCTCATCACTTACCATGAGTGAATGTCTGTTGGCTGAAAGAAGGCCGGTTCCGTACCCTGAGCCCAGACCACCCATTGCTCCATTATGAGAAGGTCCAATGATCCCGTGCATGTCTCCATGACCACCAGGCACAGCTGTGGATGGGCCCACTGCATGATTCCGGAGAACATGAATCGCATCATCCAGTCTTTCTAAACGATCTTCAATTCGGCTTTGCTGTTGGTTAATAAATGACGTAAAATTCGATTTAGTTTGAAATACATGCATAGGTTAGTTACATAAGGAGATCTTTGATGGACACAAACCACACTTTGGTTCTTGAATATATGTTTGCAATACAGTTAATTGCCTTCGAACAATAATAAAAATACATAATGTCCTTCCTGGAAAACTGGTGGGAAATGCTGATGTTAAAATTATAGTATTATTTATATGAAAAAGTAAATTAAAAAAAAGTTCTTCCAGGACATTACTGTGTACGTATGCTACACTGAACTGTTTTAGCTTGAAAGATAATTTAGATTTACTCTACGAAAGATCATTCATTGAATTTCAAGAAAGAGTCTGTGCGTTAGGAGTCTTATTGAGGAAGTAGGTTCCTAAGCCATCGTGATGGAGAGTTGGGCCTACTTTTTTTTTTCGACTAGGCACATATCTAAAAAGAACAACAACAACAAACCAAAATCCAAGACATTCCGGAAGGGATTAGTTAAGAGTTCAGTGAAAGATGGCCTATTTGTGGTTTCCTGATTAAATTATTTTCAAGTCAGAGACAGGTAAAAGCATACAGATTTTGGCTTCCTACTGAGTTTTTAACCTGTGTGAGTTGCTTCTTGTCTACTATCAATACCAGTCTACATGTGTGTGCACATGTGTATGTAAGGCCCCAAGTTTGTTACAGAAAAAAAAAAATCACTAAAATTCTATCAACCAAAGTAATGTAAAACTTGAAGACTGAAGCATCATAAAGATCTGACCCCCTCATTCACTGAGGACGATGTCTTAATGAGTTCAAAGCCCCTCTATGGTACAGAGTCACTACCTCATATAGTCATAAGCCCAAGGACCTTTTTCATTCTAGCCACATTAGGATTCTAGTTTACCCCAGCTAGGTGAGGCCTCCATTAGAGGAAAAAGAAAATGGCAAGACACACACAAACACACACATACACACACACACATGCACACACACACTTTTTTGCTTTTATCAATGACATCAGGTATTACTCTCTGTTGTACCCTTTAAAAATGTAACATCTCATTGATCCTTGCTGCTCATGGGTACTACAGATAGAAAAGACATTAATATCCCTTTCATACAGAGGGTAAAAAGAGGCTCAAAGAAAAGAAGTGAATTAATTCCTCAGTGTCCCACTGCTGGGAAACATAAAGTCAGGGTTGGAATCAAGAGTTCTGGACTTTAAACCTTGTGCTGCTCTGTACCGCATCAAGCTATGATCTACTCTGATTCCTCATGTGCTGGGCAAACAGATGGGCCAGTTCTACGGCATGAGAAAAACAATTTCTAATTATTCTATATCGACAGGAAGAATGTGTGTCTAATGGAGTTAGTCTATGGTACAGAGCATTTTGATTCAGTGGGCTTGGGAGTTAAACCATCTCCTGAGACTGCTAACTCTGCTACTATTTGACCTGGGAAAAGTCACTAACCTTCTCTGAGCCTGAGTTTCATTTTTAAATAGTTTTTATATAGATGGACACCATACCTTTATTTTTTATTTTTAGCTGAGGATTGAACCTAGTGCTTCACACGTGCTAGGTAAGCACTCTACCAACTGAGCTAGAGTCCCAGCCCTGAGCCTGAGTTTTTTAATTTATAAAAATGGGAATGATAATATATACTTCTGAGTGTAAATGCAAGCATGAAAAGACAGACATGTGCCTATCCTAATGCTGGCTCTCCTAGTGGAGGGAAAGAGGAGTTTCTACTTATGAAGCCCCTCTGAGCATTCAGATCCATAAGGAATGGAAGCTGTAGTCCAGAACTATAAATAGCCTTATAGTTTTAAAGCTGGAAAAAGCCTGTTTGGGATGGATGGGTCCTGAAGAATGACCGAAGGAGGCAAACTCTTAAAACAGCTATGCATTACTTAGGTGTAGACTGCCAATCAATGGGTTGGGTAGCGCACATGCTATCTCTGTGTGTGGTTCCCTTTATTGGCTAAAATGCATAGCTGGATGATTCAGACACTCCAGCAAGGAGAAGAGCACAAAGAAGGAGGGAATCCATCTTTGTGTTTTCATCTTTCGATTTTCCTTAAAGAGGGAGCAGAGAGGGAAGATACAGAAACAATGACAAGATAACACTAAGTTAGGGAAATCCATGCCTTCTGTTTCATCTAGAAATTTTCAGGAAAAAAAGGAAAACTCAGCTTTGAAGGACTAATGGGCTTGCCCCACTTCTGGCTACCCTCCCCATCTGACTCATGTCAAGACCAGATACTGCATGGATCAGGGTGGCTGCATGCGTATTTCCAGCCCCATCCACCAAGAGTTGAGGAAGACTAAAGTGTCAGACACTGAATCATCATGAGTATTTATAGTACGAATTATTCCCATGGAAATGTTCAGCTATTTCCTCCTGAAGAGTAGGCACTTCTGTACTATTAACAATATTACTGAATTCCTATGAGAACCACAGTGAATGAGGAAATAAACAGTAGGTCTCTTATTCAGAGGTTAAGAGGAAACCTCCTATGAACCTGTTATTCTGGGAACCAATGTAGAGGTAGCAAGAATCTTTGAGTGCTCTAGCCGTGTGGCTGAGCAGGAGCGATAGCTGGTTGATGGCAGGGAAGTTATTTAATCACAGGCAGGGGTCTCTCCCAACCATGGGGGTAGAGGTCATTATCCTGCTAGGATTCTGAGTCTCTTCTTTGGTCCTAGATGCTCAGTACCCCGGGCCTTCCACTGTAGTAGTATCCAGGTAACCATCGACAAACATAAACAAGCAGTCTAATGACTGGCTGTAATCAAGCTGGTGTGCGTAACATTGACCTATAGTCCCAGTGACAAGGAGCATCTTGGATTGTGAAGTAGATGGAAAGGAAAAACTGGATTGGAAAGTGGCTGCAGAGAAGCAGATGAGACTTACCAAGGAGTGCAAGGGTCCTTCATAATTGGGAGATGATGAGGCCTGACCTCCATTTCTTGACCAAACAGCAGTGCCTGCTGATAGTACAATGAGAATTAATATTAGATTCATATCAACTTAATAATCAACTGAATGTACTTTTTAAAAACAGTCCTTTGATGCTGATGTTCTCTTAAACAATAAGGTAACTACATGTGAACTTCTCAGACCAGAATGTTGTGCAAAGAAAACATTTTCTTTCTTCCTTTCATCCTTTCTTTTGCGGTGCTGGGGCATGAACACAGGACCTATATGCACATTAGGCCACTGAGCTGCTTCCCTAGCCCAGGAAAACCCTTGAAGTGTAAAACATGTAGACTACATGGACCCTCAGTTCCTTCTAGAAGAGAACATTTAATGGAGTCTTAATTTCAGCTGAAAAGGCTCCTGGTAGAAGAAATCAGTTACTATAGAGTACTTTTAAGGGTACACAGAAGGAGGGGCTGTTAGATCTTTATGCAAGGCTAGTTTATGTTCAACCAAAATCCCCTCATCAATGGAAAGCACCTGTGCTACTTGTTTTATGTGATCTATGGGTTGGCATTGTAGCTCAGTGGTAGAGCATTTGCCTTGCATGTGTGAGGCACTGAGTTTGATCCTCAGTACCACATTAAAAAAATAAATAAATAAAATAAAGGTATTGTCTCTCTCTCTCTCTCTCTCTCTCTCACACACACACACACACACACACACAAACCTGTATAAAGTGATCTATGAAATGAGATTATTTTTTAGGAACATTTTTTTTGGGCACCTGGGGATTAAACTTAGAGCCCTGAGCCTCTTGGAAACATTTTAAAAGAATTAGACTACTTAGAAAAAAATCCACTAAACAGAAATTTTCAAACTCCATACAATAGTAACAACTAATACTTTCTTGTGAAGAAAATAAACATATTACTATTCACAAAACCTGATGGTAAAGAAAGATTCTTATTAGAATGGGCTGGGGTTGTAGCTCAGTGGTAGAGCACTTGCCTACCATGTGTGAGGCACTACATTCTATCCTTGGCACCACATTAAAAAAAAAAAAAAGTATAGGTATTGTGTCCATCAACAACTTAAAAAAAATTAAAAGAATACATATTCTTTGTCTAACCTGCAAAATAAATAAAAGCCAATTTTAAATTTAATATGTATTTAGGGTACAAAGCTCAGAAAATACATAATTCAAAAAAAGAAAAAACTAATAGCTATGATCTCACTGAAATCTCATGCCCCGATGCTGTTAGCACTTTTAAAATCCATTCTTCCTGTCTTTTCTGGGTATGCCTGTGTATTTTTATGCTAAACAAAAATAGAATATTTTGTTCAATTACTTTTCTTGACAGAATTTGGACAGAGCCGTCAGTGTGAAAATAGCAATCTGTCCCCTTATTTATATCTTCATAAAAGTTCTTTCTCCCCAGCACGTGGTCTTCCCAGGATGCATTTCCAGGACCCAGAAAGTGGCATCTGCAGCCTTGTTTCTGTGCCTTCCACCTAGAACAGGCTGCACAGGCTGCAGGCACGTGTGCTAGTCCACTGAAAGGTTACGCATGCTGACTTTCTGGTCCCACCATAAGCTAGAAGCGGAGCCACAGTGTAGGCTTGGAGCTCTGGCATTACTATCTATCGCTAATGGCGTAACCTTGGCAAGTTGCTTGCCCTTGCCCACCCATCCTCCTTCTCTTCCTTCCTCTCTCCTTCCTTCCCTTCCTCCCTTCCTTCCTTTCAAGGATAGTGGGGATTGAACCCAGGGCCTCTCTCATTCTAGGCGAAAGTGCTCTACCACTGAGCTACACCACCCATCCAAGGGCCTCAGTACACATATCCATAGAACTGGGCATTAGACTAAATTAGTTGTTCTCACAGTTTAAAACCTGAGAACATTGTTTGCTTGCTTGTTTGTTTTTTCCAAATTAGAACACATGGAATTAAGAGTTGCTTTGTTTGAAATGGGGACGTGGGGCGTTCCATTAACTCAGATGCTCTCTCCCTCCGGCCTCGAGTGCTTTCTACCCAATCCTTGTCTGGTTCTAGACACTGCACAAGAGATCATTTTTCAAAGCCTAAGAATCCGGTGCAGAACTAGAAGAGTACAACACCACTGAACTTCACTTTCCATTTGTGCCACGGGGAATAATACTTCATGATCCTCTTACGATTATCTTCATTTCTTTCAGTTTTAACTTGGCCTCTTTAGAGATGCAGTTACCCATCCCTTTTCTTATTCTGTGACCCTCCCCTATCATGGAGGCTTGGAAATAGCTGATATGAAATCGCATCTTAGTCACAGTCATCACTTAGGAAATTTCTGCAACAATCTGAAACTTTCCATTTTATATGGGAACCCAATTTATAATGGGCCATATGAACATTGCATATAGGGGATAAAACAGGGTTCGAGGATACAACTTTTAGGCAAGGGATCCACTATGGATTACAGTGGATTACTGAAAACTGACCTACTAAAATTCATAGTGGATCCCTTGCCTGTCAGTTTTCAGTCAGGAATGCATGTGATTTAGTTTTGTTTGGAAGCCACCTGTCTTCTTTCCAGGGTGAGACAGGTATCAGGTAAGATTTTCTAGATGCGTTTATACAGGAAAGATATTAAGTCTTTTAAATGCATCTCTGAAACGTTAAATGACTTACTGACATATCCTTCAACTTATAATTATTCATTTTGAAGCCATATTTCATGTTAATTTGTTATATTTTAGAGGCAAACATATCCTATGCTCCAAAAAAATTGTTTCACAATTTATTTACAAAATTATAGTTTCTCTCAAATATTCCAATGGCACATATTTTAAAGAGGGAATAATTTGGAAAGGCTGAAATGTCTACAGGAAATGATCTGTGTAAGTAGCCTACATTTGATGACTATATAGTCTATATTCATATTTACAATTACATTAACCAAGTTTTTTCCATCTGAGATGTTTTGTTGGAATATATTATTCTGCTGTTGGGAGTCTTTGGCAGAGCTAAGAAAAGTTTAAGAAATAAATTTTTCATGTGCCTGTGTAGTCTAAAAGGATCATCTAATTTTTAAGAAAGATTTTGGACGTAAATGTACTGTCATATTGTAATCTGTCTCTCCCATCCTGTTTTATTTGTCTGTGATGTTTTTGGTTTTGGGGTGGAGGAGGGGAGTGAATTTCTATTTGCTACAGCAAAATGTATAAAAGGGAAATCATTCTCAAAAATTGTTACTAGGATGAAATATGATTTAAGATACAGTACCTGAGAGAGAAGGAGGAGAGCCAACAGGAGTTGAAGGATTTGATGAAAAGCTGTTGTTAGTGTGATCTGGAGAATAGATCTTAAATGGTAAGAAGGAAAAAAAAATCCTTCATTTATTAGGAATAAACAATTAACAGTTTTTAAAACTACAAAGCTACCAATGCAATTCATTTAAATATTACAAGTTATCAAATACATGTAAGCATCAACTACAGTACCAATACTCTGAAATGCAAAATGTAACACCTTCTTCTACAAAATGAGAGGTTAGACAGTATCATTTCTAAGGTTTTACCTCCAATGCCTTTCATTATAATTAGGGCATTCTGATTCCAAAGCTATAGAAGGCCCAGATTAAATAAGCACTTTTACTTAGGACACAATGTTAATATAAGTTGGATTTATTTTACAATCCCAATGGTTAGGAAAAAGGCAACCAGAGACAACCTCCACTTACATTTGCAACTGATAATGTTTAGCTTTTGACCAAAATATCAGGTATAGTTCGTTGGTCAAATAAGGTGTGCCATTTTGTCACTGGGGAGCATCCAGGAAGAGAACCATTTAATTCTGTCTTCCTAGTAGTGGGTGGGCAAAGCAGAGAAGCCAAGTCCCCCAGGTGCCAATAAGGTGATGATTCCTCATTTTTTAAAAATGCCTATTCCAAAGTGTTTTAGAACTATCCTGGCAAAGCTAGCATTATTGGTCAGTGAGCACCATATTACTTTAAAGAATAAAAAGAAATCTACATAGAAAATCTAGAAACTGAAAGGCACAGAGAATATCCCCAGATCAATAAGTGAACACTCTAGCTTAGCCAACACTGTGAGAAAACAAGATGTTAGAGACCAGCTATGGACAGGACACAAAACCGCGCCCCCTCAACTTTTCCAGTGATCATTATGCAGGACAGCTAGTATTTTCCAAAAAATCAAAGATATTTGCCATTCATTTTCTAAAATTCCAAATATCCACTTCTGATTAAAGTTCATCCTGCTACAATGGTACGCGTGGAGTCCAAAGTCAATATTTCCTCACCGAAGCAAGTGCTTTCCCCAGAGCGTCTCCAGTCTGGGAGCTGCCTGCTGCCCCGCTTCCTCTATTTGCTGCAAAAACAAAAGGCAGAATATGAAAACCAGGCAGTGAGACGTCTAACAATTTTCTATTCCTGGTCCATTTACTCACAATTTAATTGCATTTTTAATGCTAATTACAACACATTAATCTTTAATTAGCATTAATTTGTTTGCTGAGGTAGATGTCAAATATATTCATGTTACATTTTTTTACAGATAAAATATAAACCTGACACCTTGGTTTAAAGACAAAGTGTTTTAGTTGCTATTACTTTCCCTCTTGTTGGTTAGGAGTGGTTGCTGGTGACCAGTTGCATGCCAACATGTGGCGGATATTGCTAAGGTGTAGGCAGCACTTCCAGGACACTGAAGTCCCCCAAATCCAGCTTTTCTTTATATATTTTAAAATATCAAATTGAATTACCTTTATGAATAATTTACACCTCTTTTCAAATAAAGAAAAACCTGATACCCAGCAAAATGGGGTTTTCCTCTGAGTGCTCCACAGCTGAATGAAGCAAAACCAACAATAAAAGAATTTATAACTGGTCCAGCTAACAAGGAGAGAAAATATTTTGAATACTTTAAATAACATGTTTTTCCACACACTTAAATCCATGTTCACATTAAAAAAATATTTGACTGTTATGCTACTAAAAGTCAATATGTTCTCAAATTCTAGAGATAAAATAAGTCATAAAGCTTTTCTACCACCTTAAACATTGATATTTTATCTACAAAGTGAATTAACAAAGGATAGTATAATACAAGGCATATACCCCAGTGTATAAATGAAAGCCAGCTCTATTTAACATGCACCTTCTGAAGGTAACTTGTTTTTAAGACTAAATGGTAAAATGGGTGAGCCAGGGTGGGCAAAGCAGAGAAGCCAAGTCCCCCAGGTACCAATAATGTGATGATTCCTCATTTTTTAAAAATGCCCTTCAGGATTAAAACGATGCCTAGAACTCGGGGCATGTTGTGTGTATTAAGGCTTCAATCCAAGCAAAGGGGCATAGTACTCAAACAAAACCTATGCAATTTCCAGGGGAAGATGTTCTCACTGTTTGGTGAAATGAAAAAAGGAAATCTTGAATATGCTTATGACTTAAGCAGAATTTCACCGCACACTTGTGTAATCTAAAACATTTTCCCAGCTGTACCAGTGAACCAGAGAGACCTTTTTGGGACCAGCAGGCCTCATCCTCTCCCTGACCTGTAACATGCAACAGTGCAGACAGACCTTCAAGGGTCAAATCCTGTGCTTCTCCAAGTACTGATTTCATTTCTCCTGGCCTCTGTTCAGCATAGTAAAGTTCTGCTTGTCACTTTTACATATTTAGATGTTTCACATCAGTTCCATCATCTTTTTTTTTTAAATATTGTTTTAGTTGTAGATGGACACAATATCTTTATTTTATTTATTTATTTTTATGTGGTTCTGAGGATCAAACTCAGTGCCTCATGCATGCGAGGCAAGTGCTCTACCACTGAGTCACCACCCCAGTCCACGTCATCTTTTGATACATGTTTATTTGGTTAACAAGACCCGTACACATATTCATTTGTGAATTTCTAAAATAATGAAAGAAACTGGTAATATGATCAAGTGAATATGATTAGACTCAATGAAAACCTCTTCTTTTTCATATCACAAATTTATGATATTAAAACTACATGAGTGATTAGTACTCAAGATAATACATGTAAGAAATTTCTTGAAATCAGGGAATGGCATCCTAGAACTGGGCTAGTGGAAGAAATCTAAACAGAAATCAAACATATTCAAATTTTTAATATAAGATGAACGATAAATGAAATTATATCTAGTGAGAAAATGAGAAGAATTTCTGTGTAAGTTCTTTAAAAACTAAACACAGCCATGGAGCTCAGTGGTGCAAGCCTGTAATCCCAGTGACTTAGGAGGCTGGGGCAGGAGGATGGCAAGTTGGAGGTCAGTCTCAGCAATTCAGCTAGGCTCTCAATAACTTAGTGAGACCCTGTCTCAAAATAAAAAAATAAAACCGAAAGGGCTGGGAATGTAGCTCGGCAGTAGAGGACTTAATACCAAAATAAAACTAAAACCTAAACGCATTTCTGAATAAAATATAATGAAGATCTGAAGACACAGACAGCACTAGTAGTATTTTGCATATATTATCATGGTATCTGGGAAAGGAAAATTGTCTTCTTTTCCCTCCTCTGTAAGTAACATTATCTTTTTATTATTATCCCAGCTGCTTGGGAGGGAGGCTGAAGCAGGTGGATCCTGAGTTCAGAGCCAGCCTCAGCAACGGTGAGATGCTAAGCAACTCAGTGAGACCCTGTCTCTAAATAAAATACAAAAAATAGGGCTGTGGATATGGCTCAGTGGTTGTGTGCCCCTGAGTTCAATCCCTGGTACCCTCACCCCCCAAAAAAAAAATTAGAGTGAGCAATGAAAATAATTTGTGATATCTGCTTGATATGAATACAGATCTTCATGAAGTGTAAGTTTAGAGCCACATTGGGATGGGGGGGGGCGGGGATCGCCTTATCTAACAAAGAACCTACACCAAAAAAAAAAAAAAAAAAAAAAAAAAAAAAAAAAACAAGATATTGTTTAATTACAGGTAAAAATTTGCCACAGAAGTAGTTTTCAAAAGAGCTTAAATTTTAAAAGATCAATTCTTCCTTTGAACAATTTAAAAATGAGAATTATTAATTTTTTAAAAGAAAATTCATGAAACCAAACAGGAAGAATTGAAAACCAATAAAAATAATTTAAAGAATTTTACAAAATAAATTATATATCACACAAAATCGTACTTTAGAAGAGATAAGATATTCCTGTTATGATTTCTTATAGCAGAACACCTTTCTAACAAAGCTTTCTCTTAGTGTCGGTTTTATAAACAGAGATACTAAGACTCAGGAAGTAGTACCAGAAATAGAACCAGTTCCTTACCTCAACTTGTCATGAAAATGTTTCAGAAAACTACAAAGGCTACTCATGGAAGTCGCTATAAGAACAGAGTATTTTTTAACATGAGGCCATGTTACCTTGCAACAGCTGGACCGCCAAACCCCAGGGCTTAAATTTCAAAGAAGTTTACTGGGGCCAGTTCACCCTCTCACTGGGAATGCCTTTTGTTCTGTTCCAGGACACCCTGGAGGGGACACATGTTCAAGATTCCCTGAACATGTTAAGTGAAATGGGTCCTTCTCTTAAGAGATTTCTCTCTTTTTTTTGTGTATGACGGACATATCAAAGGGCATACGGAATCAGAAAAGGAATATACTTTTAATCTCAAATGGTCCAATTTTTCCCCTCCTCCTCCTCCTCCTTAAACAAATGAATCATGTTTAGCAAAACATGTATCAAATTTACATTTTCAGCTTTACTATATCAGTACCTGATTACTCTCCAAGCCTAAGTTTTGGTCAACTTATATCATCAGCAATTACCCAAATACCCCTTGTCACAGAAATATGGCCTTCACTTGGGAAGGGCTGTACGGATTCCTTGCATTAGTTTGGTTCTAATTGATTTCTCTTGCTCAAGAGAAAAAATAATGAGCCTCTGAATCGAGTGGCAACATAAATATGGATGGGAGATGAGCAGTTATGAAGAGGAACTGTAATTTTGTAGGAGGATTCGACACTGCCAGCCACCCAAGAATTGTTCAGCGGGACAGATCACAGGTGCTGTGGCCGGCTGGAAGATGAAGCGGCAAGCAGGGCCATGGAGCCGGGCTGCGTGCTGGACCACCCTCTGTCTTGGCCTTCACTTTGGGGAAGTGGCAATTCCCTTCAGAACACACCCGAAACAAAACACTGGGATGAGTGGTGCCTGGGGATCAAGTTTTGAAAAAAATCAGAATTTGGAAAATGTGTTTCCCTTTTATTGCACACTCATAACCTGAGGCCGGGAACATCATGAAGACATCAAAGGAACAAGAAGTGCAATCCGTGGTGTGTTTGCCTTAGCGAGGACAACTGCTTTAGCATGAAGTTTCTCTGAACTGTGTCCGAGTGACCCTTATGTCATAAAACCAGTAGGAGCAGCATTATGATGCCCTGAGCTTGTCTGTGAAGATGAGCGAAAGGGGAGTGTTTCCAGCACTCCTGCTACTGTGGCATTTTTAGAAGAAAAACTCGAATATGGTCTGCAATGCTGGAATACAGAGTAGGAAGGATTCCAAGGAATGAATACGGGGGTGGGGAGGGGCGCGCTTGTGACCATGTGCAGGAAACGGTGAAGAGGACTTAAATGAGACTCGCTTGTGGTTCTGCCTTGGTGGTCTCTGTAACACCAAACACCCAACATGATGCTGCTGGATACGACTCACATTACTCTTTTACTCTGTGCCTGGTCATCACCCAACTGTATCTGAAGGCTCAAGATCCTTGTAAAATACAAAGTGAATGTTATGTGACTAATAATAAAATGACTGTGAAACCAGGTCCTCCAGGGAAAAGGGACACAATGTTTCCGCTAGAAAGTCACATCCTAAAATGTATCATGTCATACAAACATGTCATTAGAAGTGAAAGTTGTTAGCCAGATTAATTCATGATCCAGCTAGATAGTTCAGAGTAATCTTCAGCACATGGTGTATTAAATCAATCTTGGTAGTCTGTTCCTTCAACACTACTTGGTTTGAGCTTTGAAAACATAGGAAATATCTTGCATTAGGAAGCGGGCCAGTGGAAGACTAATAAAACAACAATAGTTATTATATCCATTGTGTTAGTTATATGCCTGATTCCTTCCAAGGGGAAGGGAGGATGTTGAGCCCCAAGCCACAAGGGGTACATTTTGTGAATGTACACAGATGGCAACTCCCAGTGGGGAGCTGGAGAGAGTGCTCAGAGGCTCTCAGCTTGAAAAGTTTCAGTGGACTGGGCTATGGTCAAGGGTCCTCTTACTTCTGGTCAGGAAGGGCTACATACAGCAGTTAGGAAGGAAATACGTGGATAGCAAAATGCACGTGGCTACTTTCCTGTAGTCATTTCTGTTCTCTCTAGCTTATACTAATCATTTATTAACTTTCCTCCTCTGTATGTATGCGCACATGCACAGGAATTAAACTGCTCTGCTTTTGAGATATACCAGCAGCATAACATTAAAAGGGTTTTAGGAATCAAGTTGAAGGACTCTAATGCTGGTAACCTAAAAGCTTCTCTCCTTAATGGGGCGCTACACCAGCTGAGCTACTGTGAATCTGTGCTGTGTTCTACCTATCACTTTCATATAATTCCAGGGTACTTAAGACCCTCTTTCAATTCAGAAATGGGTAAAATCATCTCCAGAGCTTGCTAACAAGGTTTGAGAGCAGACTGCATATCACAAATAAAATATTTCAGTCTTCAATTCTCTCATTGATTCATGAATGAACGCATCATTTAAAAAATAAAACCCTCTCATTAATATAATCTAAGTTTGATTACTTCCTAAAGGTTTCTCAAAAAACAATACTGAGGATTAAAAGACAAGAGAAAAATAAAACAACGAAACAATGGTCACTTCTTCTAAGAAAAACAAATAACTACCCCAAACCTCAGTGAGCACTTTCCCTCTGTGAAATGCATAAAATAACAAACTACCCCAAACCTCAGTGAGCACTTTCCCTCTGTGAAATGCATAAGATGGACAAGAATTCAGTGTGCAGTTCCACAGAGGTTACTGTCTGATGGCTCCAGAGCGCCAGTCTCACTCTATAGGCCCTGGGCTAGACTACTCTCATTTCGGGACAACTGCTGACCACTAAGAAGCACACTGCCACATAAAACTGAGAAGCAGACCTGGTCTTCGGAATTGAGAAGGCCACTTCCTGAGACATCAATGCCATGCATTCAAAAAGATCGCACTGCCTTGAAACTTTTTACCAAGAAAACTTGAAAAATGTGACATCCATGTGTTAGTGCTTGAGCCCCATTCTTATGGCATTAGTATTGCTTACAGTTATTTTCTACAGAATCATGTGTGTAATCTCAAACATGTGTCAGGCTATGTGTTCCCTATTTACCAATTATTTAATTAGCTCTGTTTGTTCTTTGAGATATAGGCAACGTAATATTTCTTTATTTCCTGCATTTCAGAATGAGTGAATGTACGCCAAATATTTTCAAAAGTCTACAGATGTATCCTATTAATCCATACAGTTTGTTAGTGAAGTATCACTAACACCAGAAGAGAAAGCTTCTTTTCTTGTCATACAGACATGGTGCCATTGCTGCCTTCAACCACCCACTAAAAACCAAACTGAAGTCTAAGAAAACTGAAGTGGAAAGAAACATGATCCTTGGGAACACTGCGCAGTAAGAAGGCTTATCATCATCCTTAAATTTTCTTTGTACTTAAAGAATTGGAGGACATGTTATTTTTAAGGGAGAACATTCTAGAATTCTAGGAACCTTAAAGTGCTTTCTGCATTTACGCAAATCAATGGTAGCCTATTCCTCCAAAAAGCTGAACTGTCATAGCTACTTACATCCTAAAAGATCATAAACTTTTTCATATTCTGCTAATGGATTTTGATAAGTACATGCATTATTGTGAGATATTTCATATAATACATTTCCTAAAAATTCCTTTTCTGGATTTCAAAAATCTTATATACTTTCCTCTTTTCAAATTAGAGCTCTTTTATTACTTTCTAGACCCTTAGCAGGGTTCTGTAGTCTCTAACAAGTTAAACCCATCCTTAAAATGCAGAAGCCGCATATGGCTCCACTGGACCCAGACCCACTAAGAGGACAGTCCTGTGTATTGACAAGCTCATGATGAGGCACCAGTTGAAACCAAGTAGATCTCACTCCCACTGTGCCTGTGGCTAAGCTGCCCAGAGCTCACCAAGGATGATTTACATGATCGCATAATATTTCTTTCTTCCTAAGTCATAGTGCCTTTCCCACCAGGAAGATTGTTTTGCAGATTAATCTACTTTTTTTTTTTTTAACAGAGCCTAAGTATGTATTCCTCAACTTAAGGGTCTGCTCCACCTTCATACCTTCCTAAAAAAGAAAATTACTCAAACCACAACTAGACAGGAAATCTGTCATGTAAGAGGATGAATGACTGGTCATTCTCCTTTATAACCAGATCTCATGACAGCAGAAAGGGGCTTTCCATTTGTCAAACCGCACTGAAGTGAAATATGCTTTTCTCTCTCTTTCAGTTCTGCACTTTTCTTTCTTCTTGTTTTTCAAATCTGCCAAAAGTGCACTGAGAGCTAAGAAACTTCCCCATGTGACCTCTGTCCAGAGCTCTCCAAGGTCAAAATGGTGTAACATACTCCTAGAAGTTTTATTATTAAGTCACGGAAATGGAAACTCTTTCCTAAACTGGCTTCTCAGTGAGACATGATAGTGGAGGGCTGCTAGATGGATCACCCCAAGAGTGAAATAAATTACCGAATAAGCAGAGAAGGTATTATTTAGGCAGGAATTATATTTGCAACATTTCAAAATGCATCTCCTTCATCAAAAAACGCTCCCACATAAGTGATTCACACCACTTCCAAAAGTTCTACAGACCATCAAAAAAAAAAAAGGAAAAAACTGTCAAGAACTAAGAAGGATAAATAGCAGCATTATTCTGTCACACAATGTTCTCTCAAAAACAGATTCTAGAGTATTCTCATTAGTGACTCTCTGGGAATGATTATGAGGCCAAGGGAAGTGTGGACTGAACTAGAACCAGAGGGAGTAGTGGCCAAGGAAGTCAGGTTTCAAGGAGGGCAGGTAATGCCAAGACAGAGCTTGCTACCCATGTGGATGGAAGCCGTCGGGGCAGATCCAGGAGTGGCAGCTGCCTCCCTCTAGTGTAGCGGGACCCCCTGCCTAGATTTTCCCTCAGGAGGAGAGTACTCGTGGGCAACCACCTGCTTGAAGGCGAGGACCACAAGGCAAGTCATGACAATCAGGGACGACCTTCTTGGCCCTTAACTCATTACAGAGGAGTACCCAGTTCTTTCTGGCCTTCTGATGCCAGCCATCTTCTCTCTTGAAAGAGAACACTCTCCTGCCAGAAGCACTCCATTATGCCACATTCTCCAGAGGCCTGAGCGCACCTCGCTATCAAGAGTCACCTGAACCATTTCACAGGAGGAGGGTGTCACCGTCATGGCTAAGGACTTAGCAGAGAAATGGAACTGGGAAGTGGCAAATGACAACTGTTAAGAGCTATTCTGGTCCCTTTCTCACCTGTCATCCAGGGATGGTCTTAAGAGAGGTTCACTGTGTTCACCGAGAGTGTGAGAAGCGAGTGAGTTTGGGTCTACTTAAACCCTTGTTAAATGTAATGTCTTCTAATGGACAAAGAAGCCAGATTTCAGTTTTTTAGGACCAAAACCATGGTTATGATCAAGCCAGTGATTACTTCTGTTGAATTCACTTGTCTGTCCATTCCGTTGGGTGACAAGTGTCTTTGCTTGCCTGCTGTTCAGTTCTATGGGTAAAGAGCGGCCCGGCATTATCAACCCTGACGTGGACTCACCCATGATACTGTCCGTCCCGTTGGCAGGAGGCGTGCAGGAGGAGGTGCTGTAGTGGTTTGTGCCACTACGGTGGAAAGTGGACATCGGAGGAAGACTGGAATTGATGTCTGCTGAGGAGTGTGATGGATAGCTCTAGAGCAAGGAGAGAAAGGAGCCACATTCAATCACAAAATACTTAGTGAGTGTGTTTTCTAATACTTCTTTCAAAACTCTCCATTCTGCAATGGCGATAAGCTTTCAGAATTTCAAAAACAGGTAAGCACACATCTTGCTTAGACCTGACAGCTTTCATTTTTCAAATAACAAAATACACAGATAGCATAGTTGGTTTGGGTTTGCATCAAATGTCGAGGCATACCATGGCAACACAGGACACCGAAAAATGACCCCAACCTCTAAGTCTACAAGTCATGGTTCAAAATCATCTCCAAGACTTCAGACACATAAAATACCATTTCTCCTGTTATTTTCATGGCCTATTGGTAGAGTTGAACTGATTTCACTAAATAACACATAAAACAAACAGTAAGAGCCATAGATTTAAATTATACTTCATCAAACCTTCTGAACACTAAATGGCAAAGAGTAACCAGTTTCAAATCTTCCTGTCAAAGTGGATTATCCTTCTGAATCTCAGCAGCAAGAATAAAATGGTGAAGGACAAGAATTTAAAAAGCACTAATGCTTATATCCCTCCCCCAAATATCAACATGAAAAGGCCTCTCCCAGTGGCTGTCCTAAGCGAGCCTGAGCCAATTTGAACTGAGAATGATGGATTTTGACTTGAATTCTTTCTTTGTATGCCCTATCCACGTGGATGACTATGAAAATCACATGTTATTTTAGACATTAATTTTATTTAAGGATGAGCTTTGAGTTCGGTTGCTAAACTAGTTGTCCAAAATGTGTCTTTGCTTGTGGCAGATCACAGAGGCCATAAGGCAGTAAATTAGACACAATCCACCCATCTGCCAATGAGAACATCACTAAAGGTTCATGGTTATTTACAAAGGCACACCAGCCTATTTTTCTTTTCAAGATAAAAAGGTATTTAATAAGTTATTCTCATAAACATTTGAATGTGTTGTAGAGGTAAAAGAAAGATATTTAAGATAAAATAAACTTTTTCCTTGTATATAATTATATTGAAGGACTATGGATTATATTATTGGAGATGCTGTGAAAATTGTTTAATTTTAAATTACAGATCAAATATAATGTTGATATTCAGGGATGCTTAAGGGTACAACATTTGCTCAGAAAGAGAGAATCTAGTGTCTTGGTGGTTCCCTCTTGATTTTGAGAACCACTCTGAGTTCTGCTCTTCCTAGAAGACTGATTGCCTTATGACTTCTAGCTCTACCATGGTCTCTTCCCTTCTAGGAGTTCCTAATGCAACTGTGCCATTTAACGCTCAACCCTATGTTACCTGTCACTCAGGCTCTTTCAAGTCCATTTCCAAATATGCTATCAACTCCTGAAGGACAGAGAATGAAGTTGGGGTTTTTGCATGTCACAACTTATGGCTGAGTGCTAACACACAATGACACTGTAGGTTCAAGGAACAGTTTGCAATCACAGTTTAATAAACAAAAGCTTGAGATCATGGCATATTTGAGAGAAAACTAAATGGTCTAGAAAATCAATCTACATTTTAGAGCTGGATTCACCAATGATACATGGATGTCTTTGAAAATATTACCCCTGCACATCTAAAATAGTCCAACTTTAGAGAGACAGACATGGTGGTGCATGTCTATAATCCTAGTGGCTCAGGAGGTCAAGGCAGGAGGATTGTGAGTTCAAATCCAGCCTCAGCAATTTAATGAGGCTCTAAGCAACTCGGCGAGACTCTGTCTAAATAAAAAGGGCTGGGGATGTGGCTCAGTGGTTAACTGTCCCTGGGTTTAATCCTTGATTAAAAGAAATAAGAAAAAAAAAGATTTCAGAAAAAGGATACATAGGGTAAGCTTAAACTGCTCCAAGTTCCTGAGAGTGCCTTTTGAGCTTTTACGGTTCATGGACTCTTTCCCTGAACAAAAAATTCCTTAGGCTACTTGTTAAACTCCGTTTTACCTGACACTTGAATTTCCTAAGTAGTCCATGGAATTTTCTCTAAGAATAATAAAGTGGGCCCATTCTGCAGCAAAGCTAACCTGAAAACTAGGCAGGCCAAGGGACACCAATCTTGAAAGAGCAAGGTTAGAGTCATTTATGCTTTAGGGCTAAAGACTATAATAAAATAGAAAAAAAGGAACAACGTGGAAAAAGAAATAAAAATGAAAATGAGACGGTATGACTTCACTTCTACACAGCCCTACTCCTTGCTAAGATTTTGGAAAAGAGACAAACTATAAATCAGTCCTAAGTGTGTGAAAACCTAAAAAGAGGAATAGAATTACACAAAATATTAGATAATATTATAATCAGAAGAGGACACAGGGAAAGGATAATTTTATCAGTGAGATTTTGGACCCCTTGAACTTTATATAAAATGGACAGTGATTTGGGATTTGACACACAAAGGGTAACCACTGAGTGCAGAGAATAAAAAGAAAAATTAATCCCCATAGATTTTTAATGGGGGAAACCAATGCAATCCTGTTAAATCAGTTATTTTTAGAGATTCAGAAAATTAGATGCTGAAAGAAATTAATGAGATTTATAACTAGATTACTTTTCAGTGAAAGTATCTTGAAAACTACTGTCACTCAGAGACATAATAAACACACCACAGAGAACATTAGTGATATGAGAGTAACGTCTCTTTTAGAGGATTTAGAGATCAACTCTAAGAGATTCTCTTAGTCTCTTCGTCCATCTATTACTGTCTGTTTTGCTTGCTACGAAGGCACAAGGGGCACATGATAAAGTGAATGCTTGTGGCTCTCCAAGCCCACTGTTTATTTTTACTTTTTTTTTTTTTTTTGGTACTGAGGATGTAACTCAGGGGGCACTCAACCACTGAGCCACATCCCCAGCCCTATTTTGTATTTTATTTAGAGATAGGGTCTCACTGAACTGCTTAGCACCTCACCATTGCTGAGGCTGGCTTTGAATTCGCCATCCTCCAATCTCAGCCTCCTGAGCCTCTGGGATTACAGTCTCGCCCAGCTCTTTTTACTTCTGATACTCATGATAATGTATTTAGAATCTACTGACAGAGCAAGTGTTGGAAATGTTTGCTTGGTGATTTTTTTTATCAACTTATGGGTTGATAAACTAAAAATTACAAAAATATAATACTGGTAGCACATACTAAGAAATAAAATCATGTTTTGGGCTAAGGTAGGGTTCCATGGCCTTGGCATTATTGATCTTCCATGCTGGTCTCCTGTGCATTACATTTACCACAACTCTGGCCTCTACCCACTAGATTGCAGTAGCACCTACCTCCTAGCTACAACAACAAAAATGTCCTCAGACATTGCCAAAGGTTCCCTTAGGGCCAAAATCACTCCTCATTGAGAAACACTGGGCCAAATGATTTATGTTACAAAAAGTAAAAGACAATAGAAATTTCATCATATTAAAATTTTAAATCTCCTACATTATTTCACTCTGTAGGGCAGAGACCATGCCAGACAGTGAGGACTCCATCCTATTTTTAAAAAGAACTCTGCCAAGTCACTCCAAACTTAAATCTTCTGCAACAACCCATTCCAAAGCTTAACCACAAACTCCATTCATCTGGGTGATTTTGTGTGTGCATTTGCAACAATAGTGATCAGCTGTGGGCTCCTGTGGCACAGGCTGATGCTGTAAAGGGGATTTAAAGGCTTAAAATAGGACTTGACAATCACTATTGAAACACGTGGACTTCAAGCTTTGTAATTACACATTCTATCAAAACATGGCATAAAGTGATGATAGCAATAATGTCTCTAAAACGTTTTAACTTTAGAGATAATATATACGTGGTCAAATTATCCCCAACATAATCCAGAGAAAGTTCTCTTTCTTCCACCATCCCTTTATTCAGAATGAGACTAGGCAAATGCTACAGACTAAAATCATAAGGAACTATTTCTATTTTCAAGTGAAAAGACACTGACTGCCAGGGTATATTCAAATTATTCTCAGTCAGCATCAGATTCTTTAAGTCACTTCACCAAGAGATTTTCATATGGTTAAATACCGAAATTACAATGACAACTAGTATATAATTCAACAGCTCCACTCTCAGTGGGGAAACTCAGTAAAATATCTTCCCATAAACTTTATTCATTTACTCTTTAAGACAAAACCCTACTCTCTGAAATCTGCTAGCTAATCGGGTTAAGAAGGAAAACCTGGTGCTCTGTGATGGACAAGTGACATTGCAAATTTGACTTCTCATGCAGTCTTTAGGGTTGTTTCTTCAAAATGATCTTTCTTCCTGGTGGGTAATGTTGTTTGGGGTCACTAAAACGTTTTCGTAGTTGTTTTCTATTTTGAAATTACACTTTTTGTGCATGTAAGCGTATTTTAAAGATATCCCTCCCCAAGCCATGGAGTTACCTGGGTTTTAAAATGAAATCACTTACTGCAAAATTCTAGAGAATGACAGGAAATGAAAGGAAAAAAAATTACAGGAAAGAAGGAAATCAAACATCAAATAGACAGCTTTTTCAGAAGATGGAAATTCCAACATACGAGGAGAGGGCTCCCAACTTTTATTTGTAATCAAAACTTTGCTAGGTTTGCTCATGGGGGTTCCTAGAGAAGTGGAAAATGATGGTGGAGAAGTAAAAATGTTAGCCAAAAGAAATTCTAGTATAATAACAGTTGATATTTCTATAAGTTTTCACTCCAATACCTCTATGTAAGAGGTGGGAGAAGAGGAAATTTGAAAGCCAATCATCTGCTCTTTACTGAAAATGGGCTAAAATGTGAGATAGTTTGTGATTTACACACATGAACTTGGGAGATGAGACAAAAAGGCCAATTCCTTCTCTACCATTGGCCCCTCAGGAATGCATAGGCTAATCGACCATGTGATGCCTCCATCCCTAGGACTAATTAAATATGCACATCCAAGGATATCAGGAGTATAAACTTCTAGAGTCTTTATGGTTGTGAGAGTAGAATGTAAGACCCCTTTTCACCCTGTGAAGCAGTTAAACATAAGAGGAAAGACCACAAAAATCAGAGGAAAAATCGTAAATGTGGACATGAGGAGAACAAAATGTGCAAACTGGGACAGAAAGAGAAGTGATTCAAGTACCACTTGCACCAGGACTGGCCATGTCCTTTTGCATTGGTAGATTTGAGGTCCAGACATTTTTTTTAACACTAAATCACTGCACAAGGGATTTGAGCCCCATCTGATTTGTACCCCCAAACTAATTCATAACCAAGACTCTTCTGTTTCACTTAATGGTAGACTTAAATTCCTAAGTGGATTCTGGACTGTGGTAATTTTTCAGTCTATAAACAGTCATTTGAGTTGCTTCCTTAGGATAAATAGATTTCTTTTTAGGAGGGATGAGAGTACAGACCATGGACAGAGTGGAAACTTTCAGTAATGACAGACTTAACATCTTATGGCCCAGCACTTTCTACCTGGAGTATAGCAGAGCAGTATCCATGGCAGACTGAGGTATATGGGAAAAAAAACAAAAAAAAACCCCAGAAATGTAGAAAAATGGAATCTCTCCTATGTGGAACCCCGTAGTTCCTGTTACTGATGGGAGAACCTGGAAAATACAAAGTCTTTCCTTTGCATGCTCCACGGCAGGTCAAAGTTGACATGGAAATGCCCCTATGTGATGCATACAAGCTACTCCAAAGTCCACTGAGTGGCCCTGTCCTCTGATGAATATCTTAGAAAAGCTCAGAGAACCAAAACAGGAAAAGGAACCACAGCTGAAATCCTGTCACTTGAATAGATTGTGTGTCCTTACCAAAAGAAACTGAGGCTATGACAAGGAAAGCACAGATTGAAATACCATAAACAAGAGGACAATGACAAAGAGGATCTAGAGGGCTTCCAAAGGTAACCTGACTGTCAGGTCTTCATCAGAAAAACATACAACAGTAAGAATAATGGGAATGTGGCGCGACTGCATTTATTTGCAGAGTCTTGTGCACACCCATGAGAAGACAGAGCTGAGGTTTCACACAGGAGCCCTGTTCTCCCCATCCCTGCAAAAGTCCACCTTACCAAACGCTCATGTGGATGCAGGCTGCAGTAGCTGCTAGACTGTGGAATATGAGAAGAATTGCCCAACATTCCTCCGTAGCCAGGCTGACTCATCCCACTGGAGGAGCTCCAAGGGTCACTGCTGTGATGGCCATCTGTAAAGAACAAAGAAAACCATGACTTTTCTGAGGCATTCAGCCTTGCCTTATAGAATAGGGGTTTTTCATATACTTGAAAATGACCGCCTGTTGTGTATTCATCTTGGTGTTGGCTAGCTAATTACATCAGAAGACAGTCATCATTATTTTCCCCCCGAGTGGCTCCGCATTATCAAACAAACAGAAACATTTAACAAAGTTACTGCTTTTAGTAAGAGCTCAATTGTAAAAGAGCATGTTTCTACAGCAGCATTACGTTAAGTCGGCAAGGTAATGAATACTGAAGAAACATTTCTTAAAAATCTCTGACCAACGCCCCCAACTTTTTTTTTTAATAAAAATCAACTACAAAATTAAATTGTTCCTGAACTTTGAGGTAAAAATAAAATACTTGAGACATTATAGAGCTGGCACGTTTACAAGTTTTAAAAGCCTACAATGAAATATGTAAAAAAAAAAAAAAAAAAACACAAAACATCTGATTGAAAAGGTTTGATTTTATTTTTTTAACATTCATAATAGAATTGATATTATAATTATATTATGATATGTAGGGAAGAGGACTCTAGGTTATGGTTTTTTTATTGGTATAGAGGTATACAGCTGTCTTCAACCTTTAGTAGCAATTCAAAGAGTACAATCATATCATGAGGTAGATACGATGCTATAGAGAATTTTAAGAACCCCTGGATTTTACAAAATTATTTATAAGTTAAGAAGAGGTTTCAACTAAATGCCAAATGTAGAAGAGAATTAGATGTGTGCAAATTAATTGTGCTCATCATTCAGCGGTAGGGAGAGGGAACATGGGAAGAATAGATGAACTCTAGATAGGGCAGAGTGGTGGGAGGGGAAGGGAGGGGATATGGGGTTAGAAATGATGGTGGAATGTGATGATCATCATTATCCAAAGTACATGTATGAAGACACGAATTGGTGTGAATATACTTTGCATACAACCAGAGATATGAAAAATTGTGCTCTATATGTGTAATAAGAATTGTAATGCATTCCGCTGTTATATATAAATTAAAAAAATAACAAAAAAGAGATTTCAAACTATATGGCAACTATGTGAATATCTTTTACAATGAAATTAATCTTTTGTGAACACCAGATTAAGAATAGTCCTACAGATTCTTTCCATTCCCTGACCTTATACATGGTTTCTATTCTTTCAATAGTTAAACAAAAATTATTAAGTGCTGGATATAGACCAGGAAATCAGTTGGGTACTAAATGGATAGCAGGAATTGGTTCTCAGAAATATGGTTATTTCCCCATAACATTTTATTTAACAAAGGCCTTTTAAAAATTTAGGTAATAGGCAAGTTAAATCTGATAATGTATTTCATGAAGCTGATTTTCACTGAGTGTTTAAACCCAGAAGTTTGAATCTCAGGATGGGACTAGTTTCAGAACAGACAGGAAGAAATGGTAGATTTCTTTCTTCAAGAACCAAGGAACAAAATCCTGTCTGTGATTTTGACAACTTTTAGAGTTTTAATGAGGAGATGGAAATTAAAGTTAAAAATAAAGAGGCCACAGTAGTAAGTTTAAAATATGCCTTAGACAATCTCCGAATATCTTTTGCCTTAATTGCATAATTTTAACCACTAAATTCTCAGGGTACCACTGCATCCCTCTATTGAAGGAAGCTGGTGTGAGACAGGATCATGATGCCACCGTTCCTGATTTGTCATATAAAACACAGGAATTTTAAGAAGTTATCATTCAATGTGCTTTAGACGGAGTCCTCAGATTACAGAAGTTTAAATGTCACCGTAAATTCAAATATGAAGTTGAAGACCACTAACATTTTAAATAGAAGGCACATTTGACAAATAAATTGAGAATATATGTCATTGAATAAGAGCCTTTTGAAACATTCTGACAGTGTGATGCATGGGGGGCAGTACATTCAGGATTGTTAACGCAGAATGTTCTACTCAGTGCAGACTTATATAAATACACATTTTACATAAATTATGCTTTTCACAGTAAATTAATATTTATCACATCCCATGATCTTGGCATAATGTTGTTTTGAAGAATAGAATTAGATGCGTGCAAATTAATTGTGCTCATCATAAATGTCAACTCAGTTTTTTGTTGTTTTTTTTGGGGGGTGTTCATATGCAGAAGAACAAATTTGTTCCCCACATTTTGTGTGGGTTGCTTTGAAAAGGCACCTCCTGTTTCGATCTACCTGGACTCCCCTACAACATGCATAGTTCAAGCAAGGCAGATCAAAGAAATCTGTCACTTTCCTCAATGAAAATCTACTTGGAGTGATGAATCCCTAAGTTGACACCTGTGAGCACCTGTAGCTCAATTTCTCCCATGCTTACAGAGAGGGGAGCTGATCAGAGGCAGCTGCTATTTGTAGCTAAAAGTGGTAAGCCCTTTGTCATGACCAACCTGCTGTGCCTCTTTGAGAGTTTCATCTAGGATGGATCTTGAAGATCAAGGATCCTCATGAACATGAGAATCCATTATGTGTGGAGCAAATTCTCCCTATTCCCAAGAGACCCATTTCATTCAATTTTATAGATTTTCCATGGAATCTCACATGTGAACTGGCAATCTAAGAAAGCGAACACTCTGAAGGGAAAGAAGATAAGTCCCCTTTCATCAGGAAGACTTTGAGAGTGCTCACTGTTATCAATGTGTGAGATATCATGCTGTTCCCCTGGAACTTTCTGCTCCAACTACGTTCTTTTCCTGTGACTTGGCACTTCTTGGAGTAGCATAAAGAGGGAAGTCCCGTGGCACTTCAGCAAGACACACTCTAAATGAAGTGCTCCTACCCAGGCAAAAAAAGTTAAGTTTCTGCATACAGGGCTGCTTGGTAAACTCTATATCTAAATTCAGGGTAAGTTGGCAACAAGATCATTACATTTTTTTTTTTTTAAGATCATTACATTTTGAAAATAAGTATCACGGGCAAAATCAGGGATGGAGCCCTGAGCTGCATCCTCTGAACCGTCCATTCTTAAGAGTAGCTGCTGTCACATTTTAACCACCTTAGTCTTTCCAAGGCAGCAGAAAGAAGCTGTTCTACAGGGGCAATAAATATACTCTGGGGGACACAACACCCATCTGCTTTTCATTAAATAGACTGGACAAGTAGAAGAACAAATATGGTTTATTGACCAGGAAGCTACATTTTTCTGCATTTGTTGTCTGGCCCCTCAAAAGTTGGGCCTTTCACCCAAAATGAGTTAGCATGTTGGGACTGAGTTTTTGCCATGTACTATTCCAACCTTTAGACAGGACCACTTCACCTTAAGTGTTCACATCACCTTTAAATGGAATTAAAAGGTGGTTGAAATATTCCTAGGATTAACCCCGACTAAATGCAGGATGCTCAAAACAGAGACTAAGCTGAAACACTTTGAACTACATAACGGGCGTGGGGATGGTGAAAATGCTGAAATGGTCCATCTTGTAATTCCAATGGCAGCCTCAGCGCTGAGTGAGGCAGACTCCCTTCACCTCCACTCATTATTGCTCAAGAAGTTACAGCCTCAAAGAAAAAAGTCTTAGAAATAAGTTTTGGTTCATTAATTCACTTTGAAGTAATTCAGTCCTAAGAAGTTCCATTTGCCTCCCCACTTGTCTGTGTTCTGTTTTGTCCCATTCACTACATCTGAAAACCCTGTGGATTCCCCTGGGATGCAGAAATGCCTTACCTTGCATGAAGAAGGAGCTAGGGAAAGTGCTGGCTGCTGGCTTTGAGGAAGGGTAGCCTGGCGAGTCCCTATTGTAGTCGGCAGTGCTTGCTGATGGAGCATAGACCTGAGGAAGGAGAACCAAATGAATGTTGCTTTCTGCATTGACCAAAGCATCTCCACATCCACTGTTTGGTAAGAAGCAGGCTCAAAATGCTAATTTCTGACCTTATCCAGTCTAAGACCGATCAAAACCCCAGAAAAGCTGCCCCTTTCAAATATAGGAGGCAGTGGGGAATGTTCAGTAAATTTGTGTGAACAGAAAATAACCAGGAATGAGATTTTCCAGTCACAGACCACAATAGTGTCAACCATGTGGAGCTGTAAACATACTATGTAAGACCCCTGGGGTAGTCCTGAGTCTAAGCATCTCTGCTTTTTAAACACAGATGGCCCATGAGCACATGAAAGGTAAAAACAGAAAGATATGCACCCAGTCCAGCTTCTCTGAAAAGACAGAGTACAACTTTCAATTAAAAATTTCACTGGGGGAGGGGGATAGGGGTAGGGAGGGGGAGGGACACAAATGAAGCATCCGGACCACAGAAAGCGATAAATCTATCTTGGACTATTAAATTCCCATAGTGTCAGCTTTTTTTGCAGAGATGCATGAAAAAGGCCATTTTTTAAAAGCCTGGATCTAGACAAGACCACCAACAATCTGAGTGTACACAGGAAGAAGGGGGCCTCTTCCTTAGTGCTTATTGTATTTGTGTGTACCATAAACTTTAAAAGTGAGCCAAAAATCTCATTTACTTCCATTCGTTTACTAATACTCAGGAGACTTGGGGAACTAGTTTTTATAAAAATAGCCTGTGTGTATTTTCTTGTTTATGTTTCTTTCAAACAGGACACCATATTAGAAGAGCGTTAATTCATAAGGTATAGTTTAACTATCAACTGGTTTTCCTTGCCTTTCTTTGCTCTCTCTCTCTCCTCTCCCCCTGCCCTCTTTCTCTCTGTGTGTGTTTACTTATTTATTTTTAATCCCCATTTTCTTTCGCTCTCAAAGTTTCTCTCTCCAGATGGTCGGAAAGACTGAAACACTGTCATCCTCCTGATGAAAATGGATACCTTCCTGCCTCCATTTTGAAGCAGACAGTGGCTCACAAAATTGGCACTGAGCCTACAGTGACAGTGGTAGGTCACAGCGAAAGAAAAAGGAATTCACCAATAAAAAGGCAACTGCAGGGTTACCAAAAAATAATTCCTGTGTCTTTTTTACAGTACACACGGAATAAACACCCAAAGAAAAATTATATAATTGCTCTCAGAACGCCATGAATCACAAACTAAGCATTAATACAGGGTTTAGAGTTTCACAAAGGGTAGGACCATAGAGACAGATGTGGGAAAATATGCACATACAACCATACATCAAATAAATGCTACAGGCCCCACAGTGTCCTTGAAAATTGGGAGGTCCTAGAGATTAAACAAAACAAAAATAAACCGGAGAGAGCCACTCACCCTTTAGAAAACAAGGATTTTTTCCCCCTAAATCATAGAGGGATTTAAGCACCGTATTTCATAAGATTTTATTTTATAATTTTCTTCCCATTCTAAATGTAAAAATAGCAATTCGCTTTTATTTCCACTGTGATCACAATAAGGGGAAAAACATTTTTCAAGTGTCTTTAAGAAACAAAGACTAAAATGTAGGGCAGGAATCCAAAAACAAATCAACAACCTAAGTTCTGTCAAGTCAGTCCCAGTATTTTCTGGAGAACAACATGACTGACTTACAGCAGTTTGGGAAGTATGACTACATGTATTTAGAGGTCTTGAGAGAAGGCTCAAAGATGAAAGAAATATCGCCTTCTAGGAAAAGGGCGAACTGAAAATTAAATCATCTCACTCTAAAGCCAGAATGAGCAGAATCTCACTATGACTATCAACCTGCTATTATCCCGACACACATTTGGCCAACGAGGTCTAACACAAGCTAAATGCACCACACATGATTCCCAAAATTTCAGGAATCATTATATATTTACTACAAAACTGAAAATAAACTCTTATACTATTAAAAGTTACCTTATATTTTAAAACGATATAAAATAATTCTTTTAACATACAGTTTAACCTTAATGAAAAATTATACTACATTTTCCTTAAATATCAGTATTATTAGGCAAACACTTTTTGCTGACACCTAATAAGGTTCAACTAACTTTTCCAATTTTGGTAGAATTGCTTGACATTTTGGGGATGGATGAATGGATGGAAGGAAGGAAGAAAAGAAGGAAGGAAGATGTGTCATTAATTTTAGTCATTTAAAAAGAGTCTACTTTGACTGTAAATTATGATCAAGCTCAAATATCTAAGGGTAAGAGCACTTATCCCAAATTCATAAATACTGCCTGAGTGGAAAGAATAGCTAAGTGGTGGAAAAGGTTAGCATACACAGCATGATGCAGTTTCTGGTTTACTGGCATCGCAGCCAGCTGAAGACTTTTTAGATCACATGGATTAAGGTTGTTATAGAGGAAATGGACCTTTGTTTATCATTTCTTAATGTGCACTTTGTGCATAACTGATTTCTTTAACAATAATTTACAGGTCAGGTAATGTTATTGCTTTTGCCTTCATAGATTTCATCTTTATACCTAAACATTTATTTCTAAGGTAAGCTCTATTTTTATTTATAAAGATAAATATTGCATAGAACTATAATTTTTTTTGAAAGTAAACGGAACCAATGAATTTACTTATTCAAGTGTCTATTTTAAACTTCAGAAAACTCCATAGTGGAATTGTCGAAGCAACTTGCTCAAGATGAGCAACTTGCTAAAAGTACATCACTATCTACTGGTCTTTATTTTCCATTATTTGATGGGTACTTTCTTTCAAGTTGGTGGCAGAGATAAAAATGATATTTAAGTAAACACAGAGATTATAATGTTCATACTTCGGCCTATCTTTAATCTTTTAATTTTTAATAACCAGGATAACCAGTGAGCTGCTTTATTATTTCCTACTTCATTCAATGATTTTGCCAATTTCTCAAACAAAAGACTTCAAAGCAGAGCTTTCAATAAAGTTTTTAATAGTGATATTAAATTCAGTAAGAAAAGCTCAGATCTATCTGGTTCTCATTATTATTCTGCTGGGTTTATACACAGATTACCAAACAATTGGCATTGTTTTCAATACCTAATATCAGAAAATCAGTCCAATTTGAAATTAAATATAAATCCCAACTCTAGTTCGACATGTTGAAATGACCCCGTGATGAAAAGTGAGAAAACCCCAAACTTCTCTTCCAGCAAGGTGGCTCAGTTCAAGGTGACAACTGGCCTTCAGACTCTTCCTACAAGAGTAACCGAAGAAGTGTGAAATTTTGTTGCCCAACTGGAAATGGGCTATGTCAGCCAAAGCTCACTGGGCATAGCTCTTTTGATGAATTATTTGTTCAGTCAAAGCCTCGTGGAAAACTAACTGCACAGGGCACTTCATATTAAATGGTAGCACCGTTGTCTTTCCTCTTATGATCCTGGATTTAAAACAAAATTGTATGTATACAGAAATGGTGAACTTAACAAAGTTCTCTAGAGAACACTAAACCTTGAACTGATAGAGGTAAAACAAAAACATCTTCCCTTGACAGATTAAATTTTTTGCTGTCATTTGGCAAATACTGTCATGGTGCAGTAGCCGTACCATTCCACATTCCTAACTCTTCCTACCCCAGTCATCAGAGATGTGGTAAGTTCTTCCAAAGAGAACTTCAGTCTATTAGAAAAGTAGAGAATCAAGCAGGCACATGAACCATGAAGGAGTGTGTCTCTTGCCCCTTCCCCTCCACAATTATAATGATCTTGACCTCTCAGTCTCATTTATGGAGATTTAAAAATAAAATGGTTGACATCTGTTTAGGGCACTTGGGGGAAGAGCTTTTGTGGTAGACGTTGCACATACATTGTTTCTAATCTTCATAGAAACCACACAAGCTAACATTTTTAATAGAGTTGTTTCTAATTTACAAGGCAGAGAAGTGAAATAAACCACCCTGGGTTAGACTGTGAGTTCTACCAATTATTAGGAAGGTGACCTTGGACCTGTTGCTTTTAACGTCTCTGGTCTTCAGATGTCTACCTGTAAAACGGGGACAACAATGTCTGCTAGGCAAAGATCTTGTAAGAATTAAATGGTGGAATATATAAAGCAACTCAGATGGTTCTAGAATGGTACCTGGCACGTACTAAGCATGCAACAAACATGAGGCACTACTGTTAAGGTCATGCTACTGTTTTTTATTAATTGGACAAATGTGACCCAGGAAGTTCATTAAGAATCTTTCAGATGACATTGCAGGAGATTTGATCTGGCCATCAAAACCTATTTTTTTTTTCTATTATAAAACAATTCCTTGCTCTTCAAAGGCAAACAAGATAGTCTTAAAAATCAACATGAAGAGATACTTTTTTTTTGTATTTTATAAAAATAAAGCAAAGTGTCATAAGGAATGTCAATGGTGAAATCAAGTTTGTTTTAAGTAACCCCCTTCCTAAAGGGGAAACTGTATTCTGAGGGATAGGGTGAAGGGGCTTCAGACCACGGATCATGAGGAGTGTCATTAGGAGGGACTGGGTGATGATGACCATAGAATTCTACAGTGAATCTTACCATTCTTTAACATAACTACCCCCTGGAGATTCTGCAAGTACCATCTGAATATAATTTCCAGGAGAATTGGAATAACTGAAACATTGCAATCGAGGCATTCAGACCCTTGCAGAGAGTTACTAAGTAGAAAATAGTAAAGCAGAGTACACTCTACAGTAATTTTTTAGAATATGAGGAGTGTCATTCTTTTCAGGAAGAAGCAAGGATGGCTCCAAGGCAGTGATACCTCTACATTTAGAAAAGTTGGGATGAACACCAACTGTTCTATGTGACCATATTAAAGCTATATTGCAGGCTGACCCACATAGCAAAGGGCAGATATACTTGAAGAGTTAGCCTCCAGACAGAGGATAAAAGATTCAGCAAGACAGTAGAAATTACCCAGCTCTGGATTCACAACAACTGGGTTCAAATTCCACCTGTCACAATTCATTGTGA